GGAGTTCTTTTGTTGTATTGTGGTTTTATTTTATTTTTGGTTTTTAAATACAATTTGGAAAAATCTTGTCAGGAGCCTAAGTACAAAATGACTTCCAATGTTAAAGGCTATAGCGTTTGTATCGCCAAAAAACCAGTTCATTATCATTAGATTGTGTTATTTTTATTCTCTCTGACTTCTCTACTTCATGACCATGAACCTGCAGTTTCTAAAAGTAAGTTCGTTTGTAGTTAAAATTAACAATACAGATTTCCACATTTCTAGTTTCACATGGATGCTTTGTTATGTCTAGAAGAGAGACCGTTTCCTTTTTATGGTGCAGGCTCTGCTTCTTCAAAGCTCTTTTCACAAAGCAGAGCACACCAACACCCCCCCCCCCCCCCCACCCCCGCCAATGAATCCAGCTGTGGCAGTTAATCCTGGCCGAGAGAGAAACTTCTCAATACTACAAATTCTTAACCTGTAAAACACAGTTAACAGAATATACTCCAGTATACTTTTTTTTTTTTACTCCAGTATACTTTTTTTTTTTTTACTCCAGTATACTTTCTAATGCAACTAACTCTAGGATTTTCCCCAAACATATCCCAAAAGCATTCCCCATTTTTCCAAATTAAAGCTGGCTGTCCGAGGCGTAAAAGGACCAAAGAAAACATCACAAAAAATGATGCCTCTAATTTTCACAAGATGAGCAAGCTAGATGATATCTGCCACGCATGAGAATTTACACTGAATAATTTTTCATTAAATCACACATATTTCCCCCACCTCACTGGGATCTTCTTTAGCAATTCACACTCTTTCATCCAAACACAAGTAAAATGAGTTTCCACTAAAGCTGAACTTTGACGATAAGAATGTCCTTCATTTGTTACATTCTGAGAAAGAAAAAATTAATTTCCTTCCCACTACATAAATCCATAATACTTTCTAAAACAGTGCAGATGAACTGACTAGAATACCTGCAAAGTCCATGCAAACATGTATTTTATATATTTTAATGTGTTTGTTTTTAATTGTTAATTAATAACAGATATATAGCACATAGCACAACTAAGGGGCACTTTATGGTATGTGAAGTCATGCTTCCAAAAATGGTCTGCGTGTTGTTGATTTCACCTGATAAATCTGGCCATACATGAAGCCACTGCTGCATACATTAACACAACAGGTTTTTTTCTACCAACAATAACTACAATAAAAACAGCTAACATTCACTGAATGCTTACTGTATGCTATACAGTGTAATCATTGGTTTACAAGGATTATCTCATTTAATCCTCATACCAATCCTAGGAGAGGTGCTATTATTATCCTCATTTTATAATGAGGAACAGAGAGGTTAAACAATTTATTAAGATGACACAGCTAGTAAGTATCACTACAGTGACGCTGAAGTTTTGAAAGACCGACATAAAAGTAAACCGCTGAAGGTATTAGAATAATAAAATTCAAAGTTCTCCAACTTTAGCTGGAGTACAAAGAGAAGAGACCAAATGAATCCCAGGATCTTTGATCTTTCAATTAATCAGATAAATTAAAAACCAAAACACTAATATTCTAAGTGGAAGCTTTTCCCAGACTCATTATCAAGATGGCACTATGTGCCATTAATCCAATCAGTATTTCAGGTTGTCATTGATAAAACTGGTCGAGTTTAGCAGTCCCCAAACCTCTCTCATGTGGTCAACTTCCTCCAACTCTCAAAATTATACACTACATGAGTCCCTGAAGCCTTATGCTATAACACTTTTTGTTCCAAGGTTGTCACATTTTTAAGTTTAAGTGAGTACACTTTCCTCTGGCCAATGTGAACTATGGACAAATAGGTATTTATATTATCCTCACCAAATGACTGAGGTTTCCATTTGCGGGTTGTTTTGTGTTTTGGTTTTTCATTATGAAAATGTCCATATGGACATCTGAAGACCTGACATCTGATAAAGGAAGGTCAAATTATATATGATGCTTTGATAACCCATGAACAATATTCTGTCATTGGAATGAATGTATCTCAGGCTACCACATGATCATATTACCAGGTAAACTAGAACCCTTACTTTGAGATAAAATACAGCAGACAGTTGTTAATGAAACCTTAATTGAACTGTCAAAGCACCAACTTTACCAGCAAGCTAATAGGTAATTCACTACTTTTACACAACTGTCCAATACTGATAAGTTAGTCCAATAGTTAAATTCAACAGAGAGATAAATCAAGGATGGTTGACTAAATTGTTCAGTGATAAATCTGACTGGTAAAATGCTATACCACTTCTATACCTTTCCGTGTCTACACAGAGGAAAAACAGTATCTCTCAAAATTACATGCAATGTTTTCAGCCAACAGTTAGTAATTTTAGGTGCATGTCCAGAAAAAGACTTAAGAGCAAATACAGTTTCCTTTTGTGTAGTAACCCAAAAGAAAAATACTTGCAAAAATGCATTAAATAAAATAAGGATCTAAGTAAATCTTATGATGCCCAAGTAGTCATATGGGAAAACCATTTTAATCATTTTATAAAATAGTTTCAGGTTCATCAAGTGTTCCCTGAATTAAAAAGAAAAATTCTGGTTCAGCTAGTTAATATGTATAAAAAAACACACACACACACACACAAAAAAAACACCTCACTAATATCTTTAGCTTGGGTTTCAGAATACTAGTGCAATTCACTCTGGTTTGGTGTTCAAATCACTAGTTTTAACAATTTTACTCAGGTTATATAGCAGTTAAATTCCAAATGTAATAAGCAATTCAGACAGCAAGTCATCAATATGTAAATATAAAAATAGAAAAGGATTTGCATACTAAAACACACACCTGGAAGTCTTCCTTTTTTTCATACTGAATTGTACTTCACCTATAACAACTGATTAAAAACACTCAATGCAGCTAACTGGAAAAAACGTGGTTAAAGAAGAAAAGAACCTGACCAGGAGATCAAGTAATCAAACAGCAAAGATTCCACAGCACTGTGCTAAGTGCAGAGGAGAAAAAGATGTACTCTGGTAGATACAGTCCGTACCCTCAAGAGGCTTACAAATGTTGTGAGACAAGGCAAACACAAAACAATCGGCATAAAATAGAAGATGGTGTACAGAGAAGGTACACTTCAAGCACAAGGAATGAACTCTGCTGGTGATGGAAGGGATCAATCAATGAAAGAATACAGAATGGATTCAAATCAAAACCATTTGGTTTTTCATATTAAAGTACTTCAGAAGAGCCACTACCAGAATGTCTGCTGTGGGAGACGTTTCAGCACTCCAGTTTCTCACCTTCTTCCCCATAAAAAGAATCTTTTCCTTTAGCATGGGCTTGAAGCGAAAACTTCTACAAGTCATATCATCTTTCGAGAAAAATGTAGAACAGTTTTAGAATACAGTGAATGCTGCAATCCACTTCCCCTTCAGTAGCTCTAGTTCTTAGCATTGTATGTAAAGCACTAAAATGAAAGAGAGCATCCAGGTCTAAGAAAATCCAAACAAATTCTCAGCCAGTAGATGACAAAATTTAAAGCAAGGAGCAACCTTTTTCCTGTCTACACCCCCCAGGCCCCACAGCTTTAATCCTCAAGTGTTAGGCAAGGAATGGAAGTTCACAGTGCAATCCCTGGAGATAGGATATGGAAGAGATGAAGGCAGGAACAGACAGGTCCCTGAGCAGATTGACTGAAGAGGCACCATTACCGGCTACACTCCTTCCCACCAGGAATCCCATACACCTTGGAGGGAGCACTGCAGCAACCTCCTTGGAGAGCTAGCTGGGAAAACACTAGACCCGACTAATTTAAAAACAAAACAAGGCAAAACAAAACAAAACAAAAACAGGTCACATTGTAGTCTAGATTATAAAATCTGAAATATAAAGATGCCCAGATAGAATGCAAACATGACACTTGTATCAATTACAGCCTGAAAAACAATGACAAAAGGAGACATTTACCAGGCTAGTTCCAAAGAGTTCATTTTCCTGTGGTGATGGGGGCTTTTCTAGACATTAACAAGAATCTATTTTTGAATGCACTGAAAACATCAATTCATTTGTCCACACCAGATTACTTAACCCTTGAGAAAAAAATTCAGTTTGTTCTAGTTTTGACAGCAACAGGCCCTACAATGATAAATTCATTTTATTACAGACTACTAAGAAGAGTAATAAATAGACAAAATGTGGCATTTAAGAAGCACTGAAGACTTTTTAAAATACCCTAGCACTAGCCAAAGTGGAGCAGTTTCATGTGTTTAAAAAGTATACTACTTCAGCAACCAACCAAGGGATAACAGCAACTTAAGAGACACTAAATGACACTAAAACATTACACAGAATGTGGGCCACGGCATAGCTACAGTCTACTGACCTCATTTGTGGTACTCATGTGTGATGCTATATTTAATGCATTCTTATCAAAAAGCTAAAGCTACATACTTCCCAACTGTAGCTTTATGGTTTAAAATAAACCACTCAAGCAATGACTTAACTGGTTCAAGTATGAACCCGATCTTCCTTCTGGGGATCAAGATCGCAAATTAAGGAATGAAAAGGCAAAAAGGAGAGCGAAGTACTTATGCAGAGTATGACCCAATGACAAGACTATTATAAGGAATCAAGTTTGGGTCAACTGTGACATCTGCAGCAAGTGAGCAACTGATTCAAACTCCATCCAACCTATGAGATGACCAAGGTCTGTAGCAATACACATTTCATACATCCACCCAATGATCCTACATTCAGTGGCTTGCTTAGGTTCTAAACCAAAAGTCGGGTAGACAGCAAACGTGTGTGACTCCTCAGAGGGTGTTCTCTCCCATGATTTGCCAGGACTCGAAAACATAAGCCCAGCCAGCCAACACATTGGGCCTCTGGGTGAGGGTGGCTTCCTTCAGTTGACGCGCTCCACTTCGGTCAACATGGAGAGAAGCATGACTTGTTGACGCGCCCAATCACAACCATGAGAAGAAACCACGAGAAGTTGCGTTCTTCTTTTGATACTCACCAGACAACACCAAAGGCTCCATATCCAATAGGTCTATCCGGCTCAATATCCAGCTGCTGCTGTGGATGATGCGAGTGTTGATGGTGGTGCGCCTTAACTGTAGCAGCTGCGGCAGCCTGTACCTGAGCTGGGGCTGCTGCAGCTGGTCCAGGAGCCTGACCCGGTGCAGGTGATGGGAAATATGGCTGTTGTTGCCCAGGGTTTAACATGGCTGCAGCTGCGGCCGCTGCTGCAGCTGCCGCAGCTGCCGAAGAGGTATGCTGCTGTACAGGGTGGACAGCGGCAGCCGACCCCGGATGAAGATGGTGTTGAGGGTGGTGGTGGTGGTGAAGGTGAGGAGGAGGGAGGTGCGGAAGGTGGTGGTGATGGTGGTGGTGGTGACCTGCTGCTGCTGCAGATGTACCGCCATTGTAAGCCGCCATCATTTTTGCGTTGGCTCTTGCGCCACAAAGAGACATTCAAAAAAATGCCCTTTGATGGGAAAGCAAACTGGGTCAAGCTGTCATTTGGCCATTTAAAAATGAAGAAAAACCACTCACTCCACCTCAAAAAACATGGAGCGTAACTGGCTTTATGTCTTCATCAGTCAATCCAAACAAGTTAGAGGATCTTGGTGTTTAGTTTTGGGGTGAGTGTGTGTGGAAGGGTGGGGATTGAAAAAAAAAAAAAAAAGAAAAGAAAAGGGAAAAAAAGAAAAAAGAAGAAAAAGAAAAAGAAAAGGAAAGGAAAAAGAAAAAGAAAAGAAAAAGGAAAAAGGGACCCCTTCCCCCCAGGTTTCCTGCCACAAGTGGGTACTAAAACTCCATCCTTAATTGGGGGGAGGTTCCAACTTTGAATGTGGGAATAAAGGCCAAACCTCCCGACCCCCTGAACTCCACACACGAAAAGGATCAGGTAACACGCTACCCTTGGAATCTTGTAAGAGGTTTGACTCATCTACCCCTTCCATTCCCACATCCTTTTCTAAACACCTACCACCTCCTCAAAAATACAATTTTATAAAAAAAAAAAAAAAAAATCCAACCACCCCAATTCTAAAGATGGGGGGAAATTTTTAGGGAAACCAGCTTCCCCCCCCCTCGAACTCTCAGGCCTTCCTACATCTCCCCCTACTCCTAGTCAGGCTGACCTGATTGGAGGGGGTTACTAAACTTTCCAGAACAGAAAAGAGCCAGGGAAGGAGGCAGGAGGGACAGGGTGAGCAGAGCAGGCGACAGGGCAGGACGGAGAGGAGAAAAAAGAACCGGGGCAAAGTAAAGGTAAGGAGGTGAGGGAGGAATGAAAGAGAGGTGGGCAGCACTCGGACGCCGACAGAGGGAACCGCCCCGGGATGAGATTAGGGTCCCGGGGCCAAAGAATAGGAGCCCCGGGAGGCGGGCGGGGTGCAGTCGGAAGCGGGCTGACTCCTGCCCCCGCCGCCGGCTGCTTCTGCTGAGGAGGGTTGGGGGGGGAGAGCGGGTGGGTCCCCCCGCGCGACGGCCCCCGCAGGGCTCAAGGCTGCTCCGTCTCCCCCCCTCCCCCCCACCCGGCTTTCCGTCCCCGCGGCCGCTTTCTCCTCAGTCGCTGCCGGCCGCTTTCTCCTCAGCCGCCGCCTCCTCAGCCGCCGGTGCCGCCGCGGCCGGACTCACCTCCCCTAGCAAAGCCGGATAGAGCGGAGCCAGCGGCGGACACGCGCAACCAGCCACCGAGGCCCCGCCCCCGCCTCACACTGACCGGCTGCCCTAGCCAATCCACGCCCACCTGTCTGCGTCTGCCTCCAATCCTGGGCCCGTAGCTTCAGACAGGCGCACTGTTCGGCCAGTGGCAACAAGGTGTGGGTCTCCGGGGAAATCCCGCCCCCGATCCGGGATGGGCAGATAGAGAGACCAATCAAAAGGCAGAGTTTGGCCTGACCGACAAGACTAAAAGCGAATTAAAACTCAAAGATCTCCGTGACATTTTCTTTCGCCTCTCTCCTCTTTTCTTTTTCTTCTTTTATTTTTTTGGCAGGAGCAGGAAGCTGCGTGCTAATCCCGCCCGCAAAAGCTGGAAGAGAGGGTGGAATAAAAGAACCAATTATGAGCCGGAGACCAAGAACAGATCAACCAATCCTTGGCTTGAAGACGAAGTGGGATGGGACTGGGGCCAGATAGACACTTGATTTGACAAATGGAAAAAAAGATTGATCTCGGCCCCACCCTTCAGGTCTACTACAGGTCAGGATTGTGGAGAATTCTCTGTCGTATCAGAGAGGACCTCTTCGGGGGCGGGGCCAAGCGAAAGGGGTGTGGTCTAAGGAGAGGTGGGCGGGATTGAGACTTAGAAGGCGGAGTCCCAATCGTTGCTGGTCCATTGATGGGAGCCATGTCCTATCCCTTCTTAAGTCAAGTGTGGAGAAGAAAGAGGGGGAGCAAAAAAGGGATGTCGAACTTCCGAAACTCAAGGTCCAAGGTTATCCAACAAGACAGTCACAGAAGAAACTCAGTAGACTGGTAGTTCATAGCCTGTGGCTGGTCCTCCATGGCGAATCCTGATCTTGGCAAAAAGAGGTGATGTCTCCAGCACTCACCACTCCACTCAAATGGATGATAAGGCTATTGATACAAACTAAAGCAACATAAGTAATAAACTTAACCACAAAGATCGTAATTTTCTCTTGTATTTTCTGAGTTTTCGTCATTGAAATCTTATTAAAATAACATCTTTTCCCTATCACATAACCACACTTACTTTGAATTTTCTTTTAAAATATGAAATAATAAGCTCACAGAACCTTATTCTTATGAAAACTGCACTCAGAACCCTGGAGATCAGCTTTGATTTCTCTTTGCCTGCCCACTCCTTCCCTTCTAATCAATCATCACGTCTTAAACACTTTAAAACACTTCTATGGGCGCATGAGTGGCTCAGTGGGTTAAGCCACTGCCTCCAGCTCAGGTCATGATCTCAGAATCCTGCGATCCAGCCCCACATTGGGCTCTCTGCTCAGCAGGGAGCCTGCTTCTCCCCGCCACCCCCCTTCTCTCTGCTTGCCTCTCTGCCTACTTGTGATTTCTCTCTCTGTCAAATAAATAAATAAGATCTTTTAGGGGTGCCTGGGTGGCTCAGTCGTCAAGCATCTGCCTTCCGCTGGGTTCATGTTCCCAGGGTCCTGGGATCGATCCCTGCATCAGGCTCCCTGCTCAGCAGGAAGCCTGCTTCTCCCTCTCTCACTCCCCGTGCTGTGTTCCTTCTCTCGCTGTGTCTGTCAAAAAAATAAATAAAAATCTTTTTTAAAAAAAGATCTTTTAAAAAACAACAAACTTCTAAACACCGCCCTTTCTCCCCAGTTATGACACTAGTACCCCAAATTATGTCACTAGTATCTTTAACGCATCTCCTTGCCTGCAGGCTAGCACACCTCTATTCCATCCTCCACTGAGAGTATAGCAATCTTTTAAAAACACAAGTCTGACCACGCCCCCACCTTTGAAAAAAGTCAATTAATTGCACGGTTAGATCTGGTTCTCTTCTTGCTCAATAACCTTATCTATCACCTCCACCCTCTATACTTCAGACCTTCTGAACTTTCAGTTCCACAAATGGTCTGTGGCTTCTAAGCTTTCATGCATATCTTTTGCGCCGAACACTCCCCACCCACCCTCCACTCTTTTAATCTATCCTTCAGATAAATTTTACTTTTCACATAAATTTTACCTTTTTCTTTTCTTTCTGGAAAAATTTTCCTGACTTTGTTGTAGAGTATGTATCTCTGTTATGTATCTCCACTGCACTGCCTCCCTCGTAGCACTGAAAACTCTATATTTTAATTGTTTACTAAGTCTGACCAGGACTGAAAGCTGGTCTGTCCCACTCTGCGCTGTATGCCCAGTTCCTGGGGCAGTGTCTAAAAGGTGGAGATAGGGGCGCCTGGGTGGCTTAGTGGGTTAAGCCTCTGCCTTCATCTCAGGTTATGATCTCAGGGTCCTGGGATCGAGCCCCACATCGGGCTCTCTGCTCAGGGGAGAGCCTGCTTCCCCCTATCTCTGCCTGCCTCTCTGCCAACTTGTGATTTCCCTCTCCATCAAATAAATGAATGAAATCTTTAAAAAATAAATAAATAAAAAGTAAGAAAAAAAAAGGTGGAGACACTTATTAAGAAGTTGCACAAGTTATTGAGTGTAGGAGTGGTGGATACCAATCCAAGCTCTGCCGTTTACTAGCTCTGGGACTTCGGCAGTTTAACTAACCTTCCTCAGTCTCAGCTGCCTCAACTGAAAATGAAAATAAAGTGTGCCTCATCAAATCAAGTTGAGGGTTAAATGAGGTCATGTATTTAAAAGTTCCTGGCAAGTAGTAAAAGTTCAAAATATGGTAATTTTCCTTCCCTATCCCCATCTTCACACAATATTTAAGATATCTTTCCAATTTCCCAATGTGTATCAGCCTCCTCCAAGGTGTAGTTTCCTAGAAGCTTCTTAGAAATGCAGGGTCTCAGGTTCTACCCCAGATCTACTGAATCAGAATCTCATAGGCAGGAATCTGCTTCATAAGCCCTCCCGGTGATTTTTTACACACTAAAGTTTGAGAAGCATTGGCCTGGAAGAAAAGAGCTGAGTCTTAAACTTTGTTTACTTTTCAGCACCTAGAAAGTATTCAATATGTGTGAAATAAAGAAATACATCCAATCCACCAGAAAATGATTGCATGTGAGGAACTATTTATTCCTGCCACAAACATTTATTGAGCACCAACTATATCTAGGCATGATGCTAAGGCCAACTATGGGGGAGGGAAGATACATGGCCTAACAGAGCCTCTGTCATTCAGGAGCTCTAAGTCTGGTGCAGGAGTTCCCAAAATGGTGTGGGCATACCCCCAGTGGTACACAAAGTGAGCCATTAGGCCCCAGGAGGAAATTAGTACAACTTCTATTTCTGCCTATTTTTTATTTCATCTTTCTTTAAAGATTTTATTAATTTGTTTGAGAGAGAGAGCGTGCATATGCCTGCTGGAGGGGAAGGGCAGAGGGGGACAGAATCTGAAACAAACTTCGATGAGCCCAGTGCCCTACTTGGGGCTTATCTCATAACTGGAGATCACCATCTGAGCCAAAACCAAGAGTCAGTCACTTAACTGACTGAGCCACCCAGGCACCCCTATTTCATCTTTTTAAATGTCTATTTTGTCAGTGTTTTATAATATACATAATATACAGTGTAGTGTAATGTATATAACTTATAAATAAACAGAAATACATAAATTGGGAATTAATGCTCAAAAAATTTTATCAAAAATATTGAGAAATCTGCGTCACCTGGGTGGCTCAGTCAGATAAGTGTCCAGCTGTTGATTTCAGCTCAGGTCATGATCTCAAGAGTCTGAGATCAAGCCACGTGTCCGACTCCACACTCAGCAGAGTCTGCTTAAGACTCCTTTGCCCCCTCTCCCTCTATCCCTCCCCCCCAGCTCACTCTCTCTCTCTAAAATAAAGAAATAAATCTTTAAAATCACTAGCTTGTAACCATTTAATGTCCATGGTTTAGATAGCTCTCTGATAGAAATATGAGAACCACATACGAAATTTTAAATAGTCTAGTAGTCACATTAAAAAGTTAAAAGTAGGGTACCTGGGTGGCTCAGTCATTAAGCATCTGTCTTCGGCTCAGGTCATGATCCCAGGGTCCTA